TTTATAGTCTTGGGTTAAGGTTGGCGATGGCTACATCATTGCGGTGGCAACTATGACGTCAAGCTGAATTCAAGGTCGATCTGCTCTGCAAGAGAAAACCATAAATGAAGTGGGCTAAATCGAAGCCGACATCATACCCTCAACATGGGAAGCTAAGCCAGCCAAGATTCTATTGAGATAGGCCCTAACTTGGTGTAGGAGCGACTAGTTTTTTAGGGTTCTTTTTATTTTTGGCTCGGGTTGCTCCTGTACCCAATACTTTGAGGATCTGATTCCATTGACCTATCCGATTCCTACAGGATAGTCTCGTTAGTGCCGTTTAGAGGACTAATGAATTACTGACCTCTTCTTCTTCTAGCTGACCTACCAAGACTACACCTAGAACACGACGTCAAACGCCAGGAAATCAAATACGCCTGTAAATAACTGATCTATGTCATCTCTAGTTCACTGGACGGTATTCTCCCAAAATTGTAAAACAATGCCATCTATTGGTTCTTCTGTCCACTCTGCCCCAGGCAATTGGTAGCCAAAAAAGAAATAGGTCTCCAGGATACGAATGATTAAATAAAAATGAAAGGGTAAGAAAACAAGGTGCACGCCTTATCCAACAAAACACAAACCAGAAAGTCGTCACAGAAAGGGGAGGGAGGGGATACTCCTATCTAACCCGTTCTTGAGTTGGCGATGTTCAAGACAAGGATATCGGTGGCGCCGACTCTGGTCAGTTCGTCCATCACCGTCGCGATCTTCTTCTTCTCCACCATCGAGCTGACAGCGACCCAGTTTACTTCCTCCAGAGCCGTCACAGTAGGGGCACGCTTGCCCGGTGTGATTTTGCAAGCGGTCGATAACTCGGTACGGGGAATGTTGTACTGGCAAAGCACAAATCTTTGGGCCGCTGAGTAGGGGGAGGGGATGTCAGCTGGTTCGGCCGAAACCTGGGAGTCACAACGCAACGGAGGAGACGTACTGATAACACCGCGGATACGAGAGCTGATCAGGTCCACAAGAGGGTGCTTGGTTTTTCTGGATTTGACCAGAACGGAACTACTTTCCACAACGGTATCGATGGCCTTGAGGCCGGCGGCCTTCATGGTCTCGCCCGACTCTGAAATCGAAGACGAAGTTAGCTACCATCATATCCCGGATAATACTTAACGATCCATATACGCACCGACGAGGTCAACAATGCCATCGGCAACTCCAAGAGCACAGGCGGCTTCGACACTACCACCGACGTATTTGATCTTAGTTTGAATATCAAACCCGCCAGTCGCACGCGCCAGCTTGCTAGGATTTCCGTTGCTTTCGAGGCCAGCGAAGAAGGCCTCTGTGAGGCCGGTGAAGCTGGTAACGACATTCTTTCCGATGAGCTGTTTTGCCTCGATGTAATTACCCTTTTCGGGCACCTGAACCTGCAGCTTGCAGCCACCAAAGCCGAGATCCATGATTTCCTCGACGTTAGACACCTCGGCGCTAGAGACCTGCGAATCGTGCTCGGCAATCACATCGCGGCCAGTGATACCAAGGTCAACGCGACCCTCTCCAACGAAGGTGGGGATGTCGGCAGCGGGGAGGAAGATCAGGGCGATGGGGAGATTCTTGACCAGAGCGATGTCCAGGCGGGTCTCGCGGCGGAACTGGATGTCGGCGCCGGAAAGGAGGTCCAAGGTAGCCTGTTGAAGACGACCCTCTATATATTATATGTTAATTTATGGTAATCTTCTGCGATTGCAAGTTGTCACTAGATTAAGGAGGGTGGTCGCAAGTTGAGTGACTCATATTGGGGAGGCGGGGTTATGGAGGGGCTACTTGCTCTTAGGGACAGCGAAGAGAAGTCTTCCTTCGAGGCTAAAATAGACAGTTAGTAATGAAGGAGTTCACCAAAGCAATTGGGTCTTGAGTGAGTCTATATGTGAATAACAAGGTCATTGACTCACTGGTTGACGAGATCCATTGTAATTGACGATTGATGCGCGGGGTAGAAGTTAGTTGCGAAAGAGGGAGTGGAAAGAAAAGAAAAGGCCGAGAAGGGATAATTTATAGAAGAAAATAAGAGGAGGGCGAATTGAATTGGACTGCGTGCCGAGCGCGGTGGTCAGGAGACGCCAATGGAGGACGAGGGAGGCAAGATTAGGTACTTGGGAGGAGTCTGAATCGTAACGTGGTGAATAATGTTGAATAATTGGATAGAGAGAATGGATGCCAGTTCCGTCAGGCACCAAGAATGGCAGCCTGAAACTTGACAAACGGCGGCAATTGTTTCTGCCTCAGGCGCCCGACAAGCCCTGAGCCCTCGCGTAACCGGACTTTCCCCAAAAGAGAAACCCGCAACCCACACAAGCCGCAAATCCTCGATTTCCACAACTTGAACCTCCTCCTCGCCATCTACACCTCCGTCCCGTCAACCCCCGCTGTCGTCAAGCCCAACATTCAAGATGGATGCCAGCAAGCAGCCCGCTAAGCTCGTCAAGGTCACCCGTGTCCTCGGCCGTACCGGTACGTTTCTGCAATTCGAGCCAGTTGGGGGAGTCAAAATGCGACATTCGGAACGAATACTAATGATATTTCTATCTCTATACAGGCTCCCGTGGTGGTGTCACCCAGGTCCGCGTCGAGTTCATGGACGATACCTCCCGTTCCATCATCCGTAACGTCAAGGGCCCAGGTATGCGATTTTCCGTTCACGATCAATCTTTTTGAAATATATATCTCCAAAACTCCCACCCGCAACCGATTCCCAACAAGACAAGGATTTTTTTTTCAACGCAAAGGGCCGAATCCGACGGACGAGAAAAAGAGAATAAGGAAAAGAACAGGATTTACATCGATCTACGATTCGGACCTTGAAAATTGAATGAATATATATGTCTTGAGCCGGAAGTCGGGAACGAAGGAGATTGGAGGAGAAATCACCCTTTTGTTGATTGCATTGGCTAATCAATTCTCGTCGCACTCTACAGTCCGCGTTGACGACATCCTCTGCCTTCTCGAATCCGAACGCGAGGCCCGCCGTCTCCGATAAATTTTCTTTTACCTCCACGTTCGATCTTAGCTTTTTCCCTCTCGAGGCTATGTACGTTTGCTTGCGTTGGAAATGATTCTGGAAGGTCGGGAAGGCAAAAAAAAATGTTATGGGCTGATGCGGCATGCTGGTTGTGACTGTTTTTCTTTCTTCTTTCTTTGGATCATTCCCATCTGTGTCGAACCTACCGGCGAATAGAGAGAGAAAGTGAAAGAAAGATCAACCTGAAATGAAACGAGAAAAAAAATTGAAATTAACGGGTCCGAGTGAATTTCGTGTTGTTACCATCCATCCAACTTGTCTGGCATACGTGGGTTCGGGAAAAGTACCTCATAATGATGGTTGTTTTGGATTCTACGCTCGGGCTAGGGAGATACTCTTACTTCGTGGTTTCGGCGCTTTCTCGTGGAATGAAGGTGGTCCTTACGGAAGTCCAACAATAGACGATATCCTTAATCATGACACATTCCCCACGTTTACTTCAACATGTGGATCATTACCATGACTCCGCAATACCTTGCTTTCTTCCCACGTCAAGCAAGATATGCGAAGTGGCAGTAAGACTATTAATAAATACGACATAAATAAAAGCTGCCGGGCGGGGGAGGGAACACTAATCTTTTGAACAAGAGGCAGATGAGTAGAACTGTAGTATTTTGGGTAAAGAGTAAAGAAATTATACCGACGGCGCGGTTCAAACTATCAAGGATTAGTTTCATAAATCAAAAATGTGAGTGGTGGCTAAAGCCTTCCCTTTATTTTGACTAGAATGCTTCGGTGGATGTTGGTGAAGGTGGGGGGGAGCTTAAATAAAGTCGGTTTTTTATTTCTCGATCTCCTAAAATACGGGGATAGAAGAAGGAATCGACACGCTAGCTGCCTATTCCATAGATAACAGATAAGATAGAGAGAGACTAAAACACGACTCAATATTTCTCATACTATTATGCTGTAAAACCTACAGCAGGGTCCAAAAGTCTGTTTACACTCCCGATTTGACCACCATTTTCAAAAGGTAATTAATTATTCAACCACTTTATTGCTTAGAGACTTGTTTTTTCAATACAGTTTCTAAATACTAGTATTGAGTATATCATCCCCTAACTCTATATACTGTCGTTGGCCTTCGAGGCGTAGATTTAATCAAGCTGTCAATTGTACTCTGGGGTATAGCCTCCCACGTCTCAATGATTGCGTGCTTAAATCTAGTCCAATGCCCATGAGATCTTCCATGTTGAAGGAGATTTGGATGAAGCTTCAAAAGCTCTCTCTTTAATTGATTCCACATGTGTTCAATCGGGTTGAGATCAGGAGAATGAGAAGGCCATGTATAAATCTTTGGCTTTGTAGGTCTACCACTTCTGGAGCGAGAATGTGGTAAGCTCTGAATAGCGTTCTTTGGTCTTGTAGATTGTAGGTCTCGAGACGTTGAATTCGCATGCTAGTTTTGTTGGCGATATTCCAATTTCTAAACCGTAGACGATGGCTGCACGCTGCTCAGTTGAAAGCTCTTGATGCGATCTTCGATTTCGACTAATTTCTGTTGTGAGAGACCCCATTATGATGGAGTGGGAGATGGTTGAAGAAAGTGAGATATTTTGACGCGTCGTGGGAACGGGCTAGTGTAAACGCACTTTTATACCCCCATGTATTTACAAGGAACTACATGATATAAGAATGAAAATGCGTCATGTTTTGATCTGGTGCTAACAAACTTCTCTTCTCCTATGATATACAAAATCCCTTGTATTAGGTAGCTCGAAATTTTATTTGATCATCATTATGTTCTAAAAAAGGAAGGAAGTACTCCAGGATAAAGTACATACAGATATATTAATCCATTATCTTGCAGTGATCAACGAGTAGTAAAATCCGATTCCTTTTTTAAAGAAGAGAATCTAAAATTTAGAGTAAAAAAATTATCTGTTGCGTCTGTCTGTCAGAGAGACCGGCAAAAAAGTTCAAAAAGTAAGGCCCGAACCGCGATTTGAACGCGGGACCTCTCGCAAATTAGGTTGTATAGCCCACTATCAGAAGATTAGTACAAGTGTAAACAGTATTAGACCGAATCGGGTATACGAACAAGCGAGAATCATACGACTAGACCATCCGGGCTGTTGTTGTTACTAATGAAGTTTTATTGTATCATAACATGAAGGTGGCCGTCACAAAAATCCAACAATAGTAAACTGGATGTAAATAGTCCATGTAAAATCCCGGCCATTCCCAGAGACGAGTCGTACAAGATGAATACTCGATTATCTGCTCTTGCAGCTAAAGGTTGGTTATACATCCTGGCGTCGCTGCTCCCCACTGTCCCACAGCTGGTTCTTGACTTCCTGCACTCCCTCTTCACCTGTCAACTCAGGATATAAACGAAGCACAGTATCTAACTGTGACCTTGCAGCCCGAATGTTCTCTTCTGTCCATGAACAATACACCTGTTAAAATAGTAGTACCATACAGAAAACCAGAAATTGGGACATTTTTCTTACCCCGTTAGGCGGAATTCGTCATTTTTTATAATATTATGCGCGTTCAGATCTCCATGGGTAAAGCTAGCGTATTTATCATAACCAGCGGCATAAGGTGGGATCATAGACCGCATGATCAGATAATCAATCGCATTACCCCATTGAGCAGTGCCTCTAAGGGTTCGCTGAAGTCCGCGATCTAGGCTTTCCCCCTTCGCTAGAAAATGCCCAACCTTTTTCCAGGAAACTCTATAAGCAATGGCTAAGACGATATGTTCATAGTATTTGTTCATTGTATAAACCCGAAAAGGAAAATGGTTGGTTCCACCACGCTGGAAATTATAACTCCTCCGCATTACTGATGAGTCGGTCAATAATATCTTGGTCTCCCTTCTTAGAGCTAGACATGATCGTTCCAGCCGCAGACATCAGCCCGGCAACCTTCCGAGCCCGAATCCTCTGTTCAAGCTCTGCACTCTTTTGTTTGGCCACGTCTATCAAAGACGCGGGTAAGGTCGCTAAGCGAGCGACGTTGAGGCCATAACTGCGATGGGCGACACCCTCCCCGACCTCGTAGAGGAATGTGATGTCTTCCTCCTGGTCTGGTCCAGACTCGGTGAAGCGCATGTGGACGTTTCGAAACTCGTGGTTCGGAAATGAGTGAACCATCGAGGCAAGTTGCTGATAATGAGTGATAAAAAGAGTCAGGCTCCTTAACGAGCGGACCATATAATCGAGGACCGCCTGAGCAATCGCGACTCCATCATGAGTGGATGTACCGCGTCCTAGTTCATCTAGAATGACGAGCGAGCGAGGTGTCGCCTGTTTTAGGATGTCGGCCGTCTCAGACAGTTCGACCATGAATGTCGACTCGCCAGCTAGCATATTGTCAAAGGCACCCATTCGCGTAAAAACCGCATCCAGCATACCTAGCTTCGCGGACTGGGCAGGGACATACGAGCCAACCTGGCCCATGATAGCAATGAGAGCTATCTGCCTCACGTAGCTAGACTTACCACCCATATTCGGTCCAGTGACGAGCAGAGCACGGGTTTCTTCGCTGTCCAAGTCGATGTCGTTAGGCACGTAACTATCAAGCAAAAGCTGCTCGACCATTGGATGGCGTCCTTTCTCCACATGGATACATGTATGGTCTGCATATTCAGGCTTAACATAGCCTGGCTGGGTCGCGATGGCGGCCAGCGAAAGTAAGCAATCGAGGGTGGCAAGCGATTGCACACAGTCGCGGAAAGGCTGGTAGCTAAGTGCAATTTCAGCCAGAAGTGCCGCAAATGCCTGGTCACAAGCGGCAGCTAAAGCTTCTTTGTGCTGGTCTCGTTGGCGTAGTAGCTTGGTTACCTCTGGTGGATGGAATCTCGATAGCTTCTTTGTGCCGCTGATTTTGTGCCATGATGCGGGCACCTTTTTCAAGGACGACGAACTGTTCTCGACCTCGATAAGATAATCAATACCGGAAACCGTAGCATATTGAACTTTCTTTTTTCCGAGGATCTCGCCGGCGACAGACTGATATTCCCGGAGATCATGCTCCACACTCCCAATGCCTAGCTTGTGCTCAGTAATCTCTTCCGTCTCCTCTGCGTCCCGAAAGAACTCATATTTATCATCACTCCTTGCCGCGTGTAAATTGATTTTATCAAGAGAGGACACAACCTTTTCAAGTATTGTGGGGAGGGAGGCAATTGCTTCGCCAAGTATAGGGGTTGTGAAGCCGGAATCTGCTGGAGATTTCACGTCGGCGAACTCCTGTGCGATCATCTGCAATGTCTGTAGACCCGTGAGAAGCTCCGGCCGAGTACACTGTGAGGAACGTTAGCAAAAGAGTTTGTCGCCACAAGCTGAGGAATTTGATCTTCCTACCCTCCCATAATAGATGCGGATCAGGATCTTTTCCAGGTCACATCTCGCTTTCGCAAGCACACCCTTCACCCGCTCGACCATAACGGCCCTCCCTGTCCCCTTTAGCTCTTCAATCGCGTTTACTCTCTCTTCCAACTTTGACTTGTCTAGCAGAGGACGTCCAACCCACTTCCGCAGCAACCGCTGGCCAAATCGTGTCTGGGTCCGATCCAATGTCCAGAAAAGGCTACCTCGAGTTGAGTGGTCTGTCTGGTTCTGGTAAATTTCAAGGCTCATCAAGGTGTTTCCGTTCAAAAGCATGTGAGACCGCGATGAAAAGTGTTGAAAATACTTTGTAAGTTCAAATACATATTCCAGGCCATATTCGGTCATGTGTTTTATCATTGCAGAGAGGCAAATCGAGACCTGTTCGGGCAGATTCAATACTTTCTGAAGAAGATCACTTGCTTGGGCATCATCAGTAGTATCGTTCGCCTTCATTCGTCCGGCATAAAAGCTCGAGACATGACTATGTGCTTCGGCTGCGGCAGTCTTTGACTTGTTGGCTCTCTCCACACGAACCTTGTCACCGAAGACATTCATCTTACTGCCGGCAAGATGCTGGACGAGTTTTTCCGACGCCTTTGACATATCTCCAACAATCAGGAGTTCGCAAGGCGCAAGATGCAACAATCTTGTTTCGATTTCACTCCTCATAAAGCCGTCTTCAAAGTCATCAAATACGATGTCCCCCGTGGCTGGCTGTACGGCCACGATGCCAACGTGTACCTTCTCGTCATTGCCCCCACTCTTTGCGCTCGACTCCGTAATGCAAAGCATATAACCCGTTGCCGCAGTGTTGGCTCCCGCCATAGCTGTCGGGGGCCCTTGTAGGCCTTCCATGTCATCAATGTAGGTTCCCTTGGTGTATACATTGGTGAGTTTACGGACAAATGGCGCGTTGCGGTTATCTCCGGCAGCCTTCAGCGCAGCTGTCTCTATTTGCTTTACTACACCAACCTTATGTCCTGCCGTAATGAGACGCTTCACATGAACATGTAGTTTGTGCACGGGAATGCTAGCAGATGCAAACCTGTCAAGATGAGCTTCTGAGGGGTCTAGAGAACAGTCAGCGCGTTCTATCGGATGGACACAAAACTGGACGTACGTTCATCAAATCGGAATTTTCCTGGAATGCACACGATGCTCAACTCCTTCGCCGCAACTCTCGCATCCTCGCCGAAGAATCGGAACTTGTAGCCAACTTGTACAGCCAAAACCATATCCATATGTTTGCGTTTCATCTCAATGATCTGCTTTTCCATGGGAGTAAGTTTTCCTCCGCCTTTCTTCGCCGTGGCCTTCCCCTTTGTTGGAGGTGCAGGAGCCGCTTCCTCCTCGTCCTCTACATCCGCACCATCCTCCAATGTAGGGTCCGACTCATCAGCGACATTTTTATTGATACCTATCAGGCAATCTGATCCACCTAGTCGCCGCACAAACTGTTTATGAAGTTTCTCGCGCTCTTTTCGTCGCTCCTTATCCTCTCCCTCGCCCATCCCAGGCGATTCTTCCGTTCCAGCACCGGCAGAAGAGCTTACAAACTTGGAAAGCTCTGTGCGCTGGCTACTTTTCGGAGCTGCTGGCTGCTCCGGGCCAGGTGAAGGCGCTGTGTCGAAGCTTTGCGCTGTATCCGGGAGCTGGCGTCCATTGATCCTAGCGCGTTTCGGAGCGGGTGGCACAATATCATCGTCCTCCTCTATCGTGTCGTCTGCCATTTTGGGCTCTCTGTTTTCGATGCCCACGTCTTCCACGCCGTCGCTCCCCACCCGTTGTGCTTCGACATTATGGGAGGGTTCTCGTTTTGTTGATTGGGGCTTCTTAGTAAAGAAACTTGAGATGGTTTGTTGCTTCCGTTTCAGATTCTGTGATGAAGGAGGTGATGATTGAGAGGAGGATAAAGGCATTGTTTATTTCCGGTATCTTCTTTTGAAGCCGGACATGAAAGGAGTGGCACAGCTGGTCAATCACCCAAGAAAGAACGGTGGCGATGGTTCTATTCCGCTGGTTTCAGAGCGAACCTGCAGGCTACCCAGGATGGTAGTAGTTATCGATACGAACAGATTTATCTTCTCCAAGCTAGAGGTAGTCTCACATTGACTTGTTCGTTAAGGAGTGAAGCTGGAAATTTCTCGGAGAATTGAAGACCAGTCAGTTCCGCACCCTCGGAGCTTGACGCGTTAAACGGCACGCGCATTCGTTAATTGAGTTGGACGTGTTCGATGGCTTATCTAATCACCCCGGAAGTCCTCTTCGGGAAACCCGATGGTCGGCCTCATATCATGTTCCAAGTAGTAGGAGGTACCAGTTAGATACATGTAAACGTGAAGGAAACTTGCCTGTGTCATATTCATACAAAAAATCTGCGTAATAGATCTAGATAGATACATATTGAAGGACAATGATGACCCGATGATTCGTGATGTTCACCGTACACTATGATTCATTGAAGTACTACAATCAAGCCACAGCCAAGTTCGAGTCCAATTTGACTTGTACAAAGAGAAAGGTAAAAGAATGCACTTTCCATTTCATTTTTTAAAACTAATATACAAACGAAGCAGATTTACTAACTTCCGGTAGTTGAAGCCTCTTGTGATCGAATCCCATAAGAGTTACTCATATCGATGCAACAAGAAGTGCTGTTATATAAAAACTCCACCCGGCAAGTGCTTGAAAAAACGCGAACCTGAAAGATAAGGGCAACTTCGCATAGAGAAG